TTTTTTTTTTTTTTTTGCTCCTGGGTTTTTTTTTTTTTTTTTTGCTCCTGGGAGCAAATCTGAAACGCTGCCTTGCTGCAGACTGACAGATTTGGATGGGAATGTGGAGCTGGAATGGAGCCCTTCCCAGGAGGGGGTGGAAGAGCAAGACCACAACCGGGGCTGTTTCCACCACAGACCATCCCAGGGCAGTGAAATCCAGGAGCACCAGCAGAGCCAGGGTGGGTGAAATGGGATCCCAGGAGTGGGAGTCACCCGGAGTTCCCATCTGCTGTCTCCTGGCACAGGCTGGGTTACCGCAGAGCAGAGGACATCACAGAGCTCTTCCTGTGCCAGGGGACTTCCACAGCGCCCGTGGGGACAGCCACAGCCACASAGCAAAGTCCTGAGCTGGCAGGGGCTGCAGGCTCACAGCATCGTCACCTCCAGCCTGCCGGGGCTTTCTGCTCTCCAGAAATCCCGTTCCATTTGTGGGGCTGGGCTGGAACACCTCAGGGTTCCTTCTGGGAAACAGCTGGGCTTGTTCCTGGCTGTGTGACCCGAGCTGACCTCCTTCTGCAGCCCCATCTGCAAGCAGAGTGGCACCCAAAGTGCTGCAGGGCCAAAACCTCTCCAACCCAAGCTCATCCCAGTGTAATGCATTGTCCTGGCTGGAGGCTGGGGAATGCAGGATTTGGCTTTTAGCACCAAGGACTAAAGATGGCAAAGACCTCTCAGCATGTGATGTTTGACTCCTCCCTGCCTTTGGTGGGTGTTCAGCACCCCCCACCCCATCAGAACCAGCCCCAGCAGCTCAGTTCACACCTCAAGCCTGATTTATTCCAGTTTATTCCCTTCCTTAGGTCCCCACTCAACTCAGCTCCCAGCACACAACCCCACAGAGGTTCCTTGACAGGGACACATCCATGCTGAGCACCACCAGGGCACCGGGACCTTCTCCCCCTTTCAGCAAGGAAGGAGGAGCTTCACAAACCCAACACCAGCTCCCGTTTTCCATTTACATCACCAGAACACACCACAACCCTTCCTGAGCTGAAGCCTTCTGCCTCACCCACTGACACATAATAAACACTCAAGGTTTACTAGCAATTTATCCAGAATCAGCCAGCGTTGCTGGGAGGGATATTAATTCAGTTTTTATGATATTTAAATTCAGCTTTTCTGCACAATTTGTGYGATTTCAGGCAACTTCACTCTGCAAAAACCCAGCACTGTGGTCTCATTTGCTTGAGGGGAATGGAAAGTATCCATTGCTCCCTGCAAAGACTCCCCCACATCCACAGAAACAAAACCCAGAGGTGTGGGTCAGCTCCAGAAAGCTGCAATAAACTGTTCCACACCTCTCCTTTCCTCAGCCTGCTATAAATACACATTACAGCTCGCTCAGCCAAGGGGTAACAAAGCAAGGAAAATTAAGACAAAGACGATTACCCAAGAGTAATTTCCCCTTTTAAATTTTTTATACAAAGGCCTGATGTTAATTGAGTATTCCTGGTGACAAGAAGGCTGCGAGAAGCTTAGCCCTGGAGTCCCAGCATTTAGAACAAAATCCCAGGGGATTTTACTGTGACTTTTCCCTCAAATCCCTCCAGGGCTTGGCATCTATGAGTGTTTTCCTGCTGGGAGCCCATGGATAGTGCAGGGCTGGGAAAAGCTGTGGTCACTCATCTGCTGTCCACCAAATACCTGGACAAATCCATCCCCAGGGGCAGGAGAAGCCCTGCGGGATGCGTGGGAATCCGTGGATCTTTTAATAGACTGACAGGAATTTTCTGGCACCCRTCTCCACCAGGTGAAGCAAACTTGAAAACATTTTAAATCAGAATGGGCTCCGAGAACGAGGCCAGGGAACGCCAGGAAAGAAGGGAAGTGACTTATCCCTGAAATATGAAGTATTGTTCAACCAGGAACATGGCAGATCTGCCAAACCTCCGCAGGACACGCTCAGCCCCACAGAAAACCCCCGCTCTGCAGGAGCTCCTGGCACATTCCTGGTACCCAAAATGTGGGCAGCCACCTGCTGCAGCACAGCCCTCACTTCCCAGGAACAGGGCAGCATCCGTTTTGTCTCAATTGAGAGGATTTCCTGATGAAATCCRTCAAACACACCTCCTGCAGGCACTGGCACGGCCGATGCCACATTTCTAACCAGGCTCCCAAAATCCCAGCTGATTTGTTGAGGTGGGTAAGACAGCGGGGTTTATCTTGCATTAAATAAAACCCCTCAGTTTTATTATAATCTCTTCTTTCTATTAATTATTTTGTGGTATTATCAGCCTCTTAAATGTGCCAGATTTTCTGCCTTCCCTTTCCTGTGAGATTTCTCTGTCAGTGACCAGGGAGCTGGGGTGATGGAGAGCAGGGTGCTGCTAGACAAGCTGTAATCACAGAATTATTAGGTGGAAGAGAGCCTTGAGATCACCTCACCTGCCTCAAGCTGCCCTTCTCTCCCTTTAGTTTATCACCAAATATTTGATGTGATTTTTCCTGACTTCTCAAGGCACAAGGCAACTGGACAGCTGGTCAGACAGAGCCTGCTACCAGCCGAATCACAGTTTTGGGATGAATTAAAAATTAAAAATTAAAAATTAAATAATTTTAAAGGGATTGGCTCCTCCATAGAGAGGGATGAGCAGAGCAGCCTCCTGTCCTGGATCAGGGGGTGTGGGACAGATCAGGTGACAGCTCAAGTGTTCCTATATGGGGATGGGGGAGGGCAGCAAAGAGAAACCCGAGGCACCTCTGTGTTCCAAAGCACCATGAGGAGCTAAACACCACTGCTAAAACCTGCTGCAAAGCTAAAAAGAAGATCACACAGCAGGCATTGGTAAAAAAGCAGCACTGGGAAATGAGCCCTGCAGGTTTTCCATGAATCCTGTGGGAACTTGGAATGCAATCTGCAGTTTTGGGGTCTCCGTCACCAGCCCCCCACCAAGCACTGTATTTCCATTTGTTTCTCATCTGCCCCCCAAAGTGGGGGATTTTCAAAAAAAAAGCTGGATTTTCAGAAAAACACRTGAAAACCAAAAGTTTGTCCAGCACTCCGCAGAAAATGGGTCAAGCCCTGGCAGAGAAACCATCACCAACTTAACAGGGACAGGCAGTCCTGGCTGCTCCCAGATTTGGGCTCRAAAACATCTCAGGGCTGGCTTATCTGTCTGCCCACAGAGCTCCCCAGAAATAAATAACTGCCTGTGTGAGTGACAGCTTCCAAACTCAGCTCAGAAAGGTTTACGATGGGCTGAGCCTCCTGTGAAGCATCAYCGAGGCAGCTCCTCATTGTAATACTGGAAGGAAGTGGCCAAAACGTTTGCTGAAGAAATTCAAAAGTTTTCCAAGAACAAAATCAGAGGGGAAAACAAAGAAAGAATTTAATGTGCCGCCCACAGCTGCCTGGAAAGCTCAGTGATTCAGTGACAGAAGTTGTTCACAGGGAGCTTTTCATCCAAGGCTGAAAAGGCAGGAGGGAGCAGTGGTCACTTATCTTTCCAGAGGGTGAGGGATGGGGGAGCACTGCTCACAGATAAAAACTCATGTTTCATGTTTTTATCAGCCCTGTTCCTTCGCTTGCTGCTCCGAGATTACCGGAGATGGAGGAGGAGCACAAATCTCAAAAGCCAACACAAAACTTGATTTTTTATGAAATAAATAACTTTCCAGAAAGGAAAACCAGGCAAAAATCCCTCTGCAGCCCCCGCAGAAGGCTGTGAGCGTGTGTCCAGCCCCAGTGGGCAGCGCTGCCTCCCGCAGCCCCGGCAGGAAGCACCTTGGCAGCCACCCCGGCCCCAGCCCCGGCGCAGGAAGGGCAGAGCCATTCCTCACTGACAAAGGAAAACAAGTCCCAGCCCTCCCCAGCGGAACCAGGAGGGCAGAGGCTGCTCCACCTGCTCCCCTGGCACGTTTGGGGACCAGGCATCACCTCCTGACACAGCCACAGCAGCACATCCTCCTCTTCCATCATCAAACATTTTGGCTGGCCCCAAACTCTCCTCAATGGAAACCACAGTGTGGGATGAAAAAAAAAATCGCACAGGTCGTCCACAAATTTGGTAGGATTTGGATTTGACAGCAACCTTGACCACAGCCCAAAGCTGCAGAGCTCAGTTTGCACCCCAGAAGTCTCCATCCTAACAAACACCACAGCAGCTGAGGGTGGATCTTCCCATCACCAGCTCAGCCTCTTTTTTTTCAACCAACTTTCCATGTCCCAGRCTCATCCTGCCATTTCTGCTATGGAATGTGGGACAGGGATGGGGGAACAGGGGATCAATCAGCTCAGGGAGGTCACTTACCACCAAATACAGCATGGTGTACAGCGAGAAGGACGCGTGCCCGGAGAAGAAGGATTTCCTGCAAAACAAAGCAGGTGCTCAGAACCAGCCAGGATAACCCTCACTATTATGATTTTCCCTATAATGTGGTGGCTTGCCTGTGGAATCTGAGGGTGCCAGAGGAACCCACAAGCCCCARTTCTCTGGGTTATAAAAGCCCTGTTATCCGCCCTGCTTGCTGGTGAGGCAGARAGCGAGCGGGTGGACAGGATGCTCGCATTGTTTGTCCCTTCCTGGCCTCCTCATGGGACAGCAGCTATTTCCAGGATAACCCAGTAACTCATCCTCTCGCCTCAAATAACCGGGAAACCCTAAAAAAATGAGAGGTGAGCAACTTCTCTGGGTATTTAACTGCAGCAAGAGGAATGTGCCCGTGGAAAAGTCAAAATTGGGCATTGGAGGGGTTTGRCAGAGCTGCAAAGGGAGGCACTGGCTGTCCTGGATTTGTGGTGGAGCCTTTCCTGAGGAGAAGCTCTGTGCTCATGGGACAGCTTGGGCTCACCATGAGCTCAGCTCCGGGGCTGAATTCCCACACGGAGCAGCAGCTTGGGGAAACAATAGGGTAGGAGGAAAGAGAAAGGAAAAGAAATGTTATTCAGCCGAGTGCCACACTTCCCCAGGGAAACTGCTGGTCACTGGGACATGGATTTACAGCCTTAGCAGAAAAAGCAGTTTCATAGAATCCTCAAAAGGTTTGTGACGGAGGGGACTTTAAAGCTCATCTCATTCCAAATCCCCTGCCATGGATGGAGATGCTTTCCAGTAGATGAGGTTGCCCAAAGCCCTGTCCAAGCTGGCCTTGAACACTTCCAGGAATGGAGCATTCCCATCTTCTCAGTGCCTCATCACCCTCTAAGTGAATAATTTCACCCTAAAACCCAGTCTAACCCTACTCCCAGTTCTAAATTCGAATCCTTGCTAAATCAGACACATKTAATAGCAGCAACCCACAGGTTCTCACCTGGCCTCCTGCACCCTGCTGTCGTTTCCCCTGCAGGTGTAGTTCTGGATGTAAACTCCCTTGGAGCAGTTGATGGTGGAGAAATCCAGGTCACACACGGCCAGGAAATGCGGCCGCAAGCGCCCGACGGACACTTTGGCAATGTCTGTGAAGGACTGGCTGATGGCACAGCCAAAAACAAAGCAGCCCACTTGCTTGTAGAGGGCTGCCACGTAGGGGTTCTGGATGAAGGAGCGCGATTTCTCCTTCAGGTAGTGGATGCGGTAGAGCTCTCCCGTTATGATCTGCAAAAGAAGCACAGCAGAGAGGTCAAAAATGTGTAAAACCAGGGATCAGACAGCTCTGAGATCTCAAATCAGGAATCTGCTTCTTCAATGACCATGAAGAAACCAAAYCCAGAGTCTCTGCATCCTCCTCCTCTTCCCTCCCAATGCTCGGAATGTTGTTTAAGGAAAAATCCAATAAACAAACAAAAATAAAAGGGTAGATTTTGGGTTAGCACGTTGGCATATCTTCACAAAAGTGAAATAACGCCCCAGCATAGTGGGAAAAGAAAATTGACATGAACCAGATAAAGAATTACTGTGTGTTGGGAAGGAGAGGCCAGACCCATTACCCTCTTATCAAACTGATTTTGGAGGAAAATAAACACACAGCCTGACTATCTTCCTCTCTTAAAGTCATTAACAACCAGAAAGCCCCAAATTTTTCAGATTCTGGCTCAAAACTTGCTGCCAGCAGACCCAATTCAGACCTCTCAAGGCCCCCTTATAAAGCCCAGCTATTTTGGGGCATTTTAAGGGGTCTTGTTATCACCTGGCAGCAGATTATGTTTTTCTTGTGTCAGGGGTGCTGAGGTTTGACAATATCGCCATAAATCACTGTCAGGGAGCAGAGGACCCAACTTCTCACATTCATGACTCTTAAAAGGCAGGTTAATGAAAATCAGGCTGTGAAATGAAGTCCAAATGTCTCACCTCTCCCAAAGAGCCAAAGGTTTAAATTGTTCTCCGTCACGCTACACACCTCAGTTTTAAGCTCCAGATTTACAGCTTTAGGATTTCATTCATTACTCTAAAATGTTTTTATACCT